AGACCTGAGGGAGGCATTGATGCCAAGCTTATTGGGGGAGGGGGCAAATGCCTAGCTGTTCCCTTCCCCCCTCCCCTCAACCTGGGCTCCCAGCCAGCTGCCTGAGAGAGCCCCCTATCCTGGATCTATTCCAGCCAATTCCCTGGGCCCCCTTCCCTGGGGTGCAGGGACTTGAGGGAGGAGCTTCCTGTGAAACCAGGGCCTCTTCCTATAAAGCAGAGCCTTATCTCCTTCCCCAGAGAGCAGGGGAGACTGAGGCAGGGAAAGACCATTTCCCATTCCTCAAAGCCTGACATTCCATACAGTATCCATGCCTCTCTGGGGCTTCAGCTCCGCCTGGGTCCAGGAGGAAACCAACCCCCTCCCTTCATCCGGACCCCACTTCCCTCATCCAGAGCCCCCTCCACCCCCGCTTTTCCTGTCAGCTCCTTGGTGGTGGTAGGGTAGTGGGGTAGTGGAGAGAGTGGAGGATACTGGGCAGGGATGAGGCCCACAGGCAGGGGAGGGAAAAGCAGTAGCCAGGGTGGTAGGGCAGGAGGCTAGGAGTGGGCGCAGGGCTGGAGTGGGTGGAGGTTTCTGAGCAGCCAAGCCCAATGTGCAGGGTGTGGAGTCAGGGTCTGGAGCTCCCACTGCAGGAGCGGCCCCACCCCCACTTCACACACCCACCTGGGCCCAGCAAGGGGCTGGGAGGGTCTCTACTGCAAAGGAGAGGTGAAATGAGGAGGGGGTGATCTGGGGGTGGGCAAGGGATAGAAATGCCAGAAGGCCTGCTGGATGGGGACGCGGGTACCTGGGCACCTGCCCTCCCAGCCGGCAGTGCCTGCAGCCGGCCAGCTCAGCATGGCTCCGCGACCACATCCTTGCCATGCGTCTTGAGCGAGGAATTAGAATGTACCCCTTTCTCAGAGCTCCCCAACTGCAGCCCTTCGTTCATCGTGGGTTGATCAGCGTTTATTTGTTGCACCCCAAATTCTAAACCCGGGGGCCGGCAGGGGGCTGTCAGGCTTCAGGGCGAAGAGCCCCATTAGAGCAATCAATCCCGCCCACAGCCTCACCCACTCCCCTACCTCCCCTCCCCCTTCTAACCCAGCTCTAGGCGCCCAGCCCCCGTCCGGGCCTAGGGTGGCAGCCGAAGCCTGCGTCCCCACCCAGCTAGGGTCGGGGCAAGAGTCGGAAGCTAGGAACCCGGAGGGGGCTGCGAAGCCGGGGCCCACCCCAGCCCTCCTCTGGGCGGGTGTCTTCTGTAGACAATGGCTCAGGCAGCAGCGCCTCGCGAACCAGGAGGGAGAAAAACAAGCCGGGAGGGGGCGGCGGCGCCGAGCCTGTGGACCCCCGCCCTTCTATTGTGTCTCCCCGAGACCCCAGCTCCGGACGGCCTCCCTCTCCCCGTCCTCTTTTCCCCCAGAAGCGCAAACCCCAGATCGCCCAGCTCCTCCTACCCAAACCCGGGGAAACAGAATACCCCCCAATTCCCGAGCGCTGCGAAAAGGAGACTGGCGGGCAGGGGCCTGACCAGCGGCTCTGGCCGGCGATCGCGGCCCCTCCCAGCGGAGACTCACCCTGTGGGCTGAGGGGCTCGGGCGGCGACTTGCCGGGAGCCCGGGAGGCGCCGCCGAGCAGCAGTCCCAGTAGCGGCAGCAGCCGCGTGAGGACACTGGGGCTACTCGGCAGCGGCATCGCGGGGCTCGGCCCGGCCCTAGCGGTCCATGGCTCCCGCCTGGCCCCGTTCGGCCGGCCCCGCTTAGCCCCAGCTCTGCGCCTCGCCGCGCTCGCCGCTCCAGCTCGCGCTCCGGCTGCGGCGCCCGCTCAGCACGATTGTCTCTGCCGGGGCCACCGCCAGCGCCCCCTGCAGGCGGCGTGCCGCACCGCAGGCCCCCGGCACCGCCTCCTTTCGGTTCTGCTCCACCCCCTGCCCCCCCTGCGCTGCTCACCTCACAGCCCCCACGCCGCGCTCCCTGACTCCGAGCTGCGGGGGAGTGTAGTGATCAGGATCCTCTTGCAAGGGTTTTGGGGCGTTCGGGAGGCCCCAGAATTTGGTGCAAAATTTGGAGGAGGGAGAATGGCTAAAACAACACACTCTCAGAAGGGTACAGTCATGAGCGTCTCAAAAAAGTGTTAAGAACCCCTTGCTCTACCGCTCCCTTCTCTCCGCACAAACACCCACGCAGTGCTAGGGAGCTAGCGGCAAAGCCCACTGCCGAACCTTTTACGAAGCTATAGGCAAGTAACGGAGCATTGCGGTCCTCAGTTCTCCTTTAAAACAGGAGTTGTATTAATCTTTAACTCGTAGCGTTCTTGTAGCGACGAAACGAGATGATGATGGAAAAGGTCTAGCACTAACATGACCCGGCAGGGGCGCGACAAATGCTGCTACTGTGGGCCCAGGGTGAAGTGGGGCTCACCTCTGCCCAGGTACTAAGAGCTATTGCTAGGCTGTCATAATGGTTAGAAAGCTCTTGTGGAGGTGGGAGCACCCTTTCTCTCCTACTGAAAATCACTGGGTAGTCCTACCGATTCTGGCTTCTGGAATGACAAACCAGGTCTTTCTTTTTCTTCAGTCATTAACCTGCATTTGAAGACAGCTATTTGCCTGCCCTGGCCACAGCCAAGCTCTCTTTCCTTCCAGTTCAATGTTTTTGGTTGTCACATCACTCGGTTTCCATGTGGCCAAATCCTCAGCTAATCTGGTATCCCTTTGCGGGTTCTCTCTGGTTTGTCACCTTCTCTTTCTCACAATGTGGTGCCCAGGAAGGGGCTGGATACTCAAGGAAAGGACCTCATCCCCAGAGAACAGTGGGCTCCCTTCCTGGCTGGGTCCACTGGTTGGGTCTTGACTTAAGAGGACCTTGTGATAAGTATGTGTGGACAAAATTAAAACACCATTGTCTGTCTCTCTCCTTTCTTTTTTCTTTCATTCTTTCTTTCTTCTGTCCTTACATCCTTTCTTCACTCCTTTCTGTTCTCTTCTTTCTTTTTAACAGAAATTTCTGTCTAACCAGATTTCCCAGTCCTATTATTATGTAACAAGATTTTTGGAACCTCAGCACAGGACTTAGCACTCATCCCTGGTGAATTTCATCTTCTTGGTTTCAACCCAACTTTACAATCTGTCAAGGCTGCTTGAATCTGCTTCAGTCATCCATTGTATTGGAGCTCCCTCTCAGCAGTAGCCATCTGCACCAGTGAAGACTGGCTCTCTCTGCCTCCATTCAAAGTCCTTGTGACCTTGCCAAACAACCCTGTACCAGGGTGAAGCTTTGGGACACCCCCATAGAGATCTCCTTCAGCTTTATCAGACTTGTTCAGGTCTAAATCTGAGTCTCTACAATCCAGCTCACATTTCTGTCTTGTCTATAAGGACAAATGCCAAATGCTTTGCTGGATCAAAATAAGTGGTCTGGGGCCATCCAATTGCAGTGACAGAAGGAGAAGGGAATTTGGCTGATGTTCAAGGATCATGGCTTAATCTTTTCTTAACTGCTCACAGTCACCCAACTAGAAACCTGTTCTGAAACTTGCCATGCATGGATGTTAAATTATTCTTTTCAGAATTTACCATTTACCCCTTGGGTAAAATAAAACGCCAACAGCTCTCGTAAGGAAAGTTTGTTCTTTAGTAGCTTCCCCCAGCACTTAACATCAAGTCCAAAGTCCTCTCCATAGTCACAGGGTGGCCTGTCTGACCTTCACATCATCTCCTGCACCCTTTGTCAACCTGCCTCCAGCCACATGGACCTCCTTGCTTCTGTGTAAATGCCCTGAGCCTGCTCTTTCTTCAGGGCCTTTTCATGGCTGCTGTTTCTGTCCAGAACACTTTATATTCCCATGCCCCTGACACATTCACTCATCCCTTGGCTCATCTCATCAGAGAGGTCTTTCTTTTCTTTCTTTCTTTCTTTCTTACAGTCTCACTATGTAAACCACAGTAGAGTGCTGTGGCGTCACGGCTCACAGAAACCTCAAACTCTTGGGCTTAAACGATTCTCTTGCCTCAGCCTCCCAAGTAGCTAGGACTATAGGCGCCTACCACAATGCCCAGCTATTTTTTTGTTGTTATTGTAGTTGTCATTGTTGTTTAGCAGGCCTGGGCCAGGTTCGAACCCGCCAGCCCTGGTATATGTGGCCGGCACCCTAACCATTGAGCTACAGGCACCAAGGCTCTTTCCTGACCACACTACCTAAGGTGTCAGCCCCCTCCCAGCACCCAATGTTTTTTATTACCATCTCCTTACCTTGATTTTCACTCATAGCACTGACCACCACAAACCATATATTTATTTATTTACTTTTTACCTCTATTTGCATGTAAGTTCCATGAGGGCAGGGACTTCATTCTGTTCACTGCTCCATCCCAGCACTGAAATAGTACCAGGCACTTGGCAGGTGCTCAATAAATATTACTTGAACACATGAATCAATAGATTCCTCAGGACTCTAGGGCACCTCCTCACCTCCGTCCCTAACTCTAATCACTGCAATTGGGAATGTTGTCTTCCATTCCTTGCCTTCTTTTCTGACTGAAGACCGTTCTTGGTAGGGCAGTGGGAAGAGCAGCATAGCTCAAGAGCAATGCCTGCTCCCTTCCTAGATGTCACACTGCCTCCCTCTGCCTCATCTCACTCCAAATACAGATTTAAATGCCTTTTTTGGTAGGAAGGCAGGGAGAGTGCTCTTTTTCCAAGCCTCAGGTCATCCTGATAAACTTACCTCTCCAAAATCATACACTATTTTAAGCTGTCCACCAGGGACCCTGCCTTCCTTCTCTGATGATCCTGCCTCCATCCCACCCACCTTCAGACATGCCCATCCCCCAGTCTCTCTTGGAGGACCTGCCACCCATTCCCCCTAATTTCTCTCACACCTAACCCCCACTCCACCATGCTCTACTCTCTGACACTCCTTAAAGGCAGTTATTTGCAACCATTGTCCTGGCAGAGACTGTTTGCTCACCATGCCTAAGTCCCCTCCCTCTGGCCCCCAAAGGAGTTAGCATATTGGGGTTTGAGGATCAGTCTCTTTATTGGGCAGCAGGAAAGGGAATGGCCCAGCTATGTTGGGAGGGGAAGAATACCAGGAGGCCCCTTGGAACAGTTCTAACCCATAGGTGTGAGAGCTCAGAGGCAACTCAGAGAAGAAGGGGTGCAGCAGGCACCATCCAGCATTCCCGGCTAGAATAGGGGCAGGGAGAGGGCTGTGCCATCATTCCTCCTCTTCATCTTCTTCTTCCAGGGGTGGCTGATTCCGCTTGAAAAATCCAACCTGGAGGTGCACAGGAGCCAGGGTCAGTGTATACAGATGATCCTTAGGTCCCAGAGCATGGTAAGGAACTATGCTTTAAACCAGCCAGCTGCAAGGTTCTGTTCCCAGGACCAGCATGGAACATGTATTCCACCATGTGCACAGATAAAGGCCTTTTGCCATTTGGAGATAATATAGGTAACAAATCATTGATTTTCCTTCTTTAATTTTTGTTTTTTCTCCCATCAATTTTTTTTTTTTTGGCCGGGGCTGGGTTTGAACCTGCCACCTCCAGCATATGGGGCCGGTGCTCTACTCCTTTGAGCCACAGGCACTGCCTTCCCATCATTTTTTTTTTTTTTTGAGACAGAGTCTCACTCTTGTCACCCTGGATGAAGTGCTATGGCATCATAGCTCACAGCAACTTCATATTCTTGGGTTCAGCCTCCCAAGTAGCTGGGACTACAGGTGCCCACCACTATGCACAACTAGTCTGTAGTAGAGACAGCCTCTTGCTCTTGCTCAGGATGGTCTCCTGAGCTCAAGCAATCCTCCTGCCTTGGCCTCCCAATGTGCTTGAATTATAGGCGTGAGCCACTGGGCCTGGCCTCCTTCAATTTTTCTTAAATACTGCATGACTTAAGCACATTATGACATGCATTTGATTATTATAGGCCTAATGTGTGGTTTTCCCTGAAAGCACCAGGTCTTCTTCCCAGGGCATGAACACTTGTCTCCAGATGCAGAGGTGCGACTAACTCTCCCAGTCCTCTAAGGAGGAAGAAGCAGGGTCTGGACTAGTTCTTGGTTCTCCTGCCTCACTTGAAGGGAAGGACAGAGCTGTGAGAAGATGAACTCTGCTTTCCTCAGTCAGAATTTCCTGAAGGTAGGACTCATTCCCTCTGACTGTTTCTGGTCTCACCCCCCATGCCCAGGGCTAAAGGCTTTAGAATTTCAGGTCTTGAGATCCCTGGAGAATGACATTCTAATAGTGAAGACATAGGTCCAACTATCCCTGAATTACCCATCATGTCTTTCTGCCTCCCTGTGAGGTAGGGCAGGGGGAAGCCTTTGCCCACCTGGGGACTCCACCCTCCTTCACTCCTCACCTTCCACATGGCCAGGACAAGGAGAGTGAGCAGGAGCAGGCCACCTAGCACACCCACCAGCACCCACCAGATTGGAACAGGCTTTTCTTCCAAGACCCGAAGCAATTTTGTTTCCACCTGGGGACAAACCCAGGAGTCTCCTCAGTCATCTTGACAGCTGCCTTTCACAAAGACTCTAACTTGGGACTGCTGACCCCCAGCCAAACCACCCACCCATACCACACACCCGGCAGACCCAGGGAGGCCAGTGAGTCCTGCCGGACTTCTGTCCTCCGCTGGGTCGCTCCATTCTCACCCAAGCCTCCCCGCTGGGCAAGCTGAGGGCAGGCACGGCATAGGGAAGGGAGGAGACGTTGAACCAAGCGTGCGACTGTAGGATGAACTGATCCAGGGGTCTCTGGATGGGGAGGCGGTGAAAACCAGGGAAGACTTATTGGTTGCAGGAGTCCAAGCCCCAGACAGCCTGCCGGGAGACACCCCCCCGCCCCCCCCCCAATCCTCCCCTTGACGCCCAGAGTTAGCCTTGCCCTTGCCTTA